AAAAGTTTTGATTTAAAGTCCTTCACTGGTTTTTGTTGATATGTATATGAGTGAAACATTCTCAAAAGAACGCAAAACTTTGAATCAATAAATTGTAGATTCATTTTCTTCTGTTGTTACTCATTGCTGAAGTATGGTGACTTGTGCTAGGTTCACTGGTGTATTTGTTACTATCTTTAGCTTCTCTGTCACTATAGCTTGTGTTTGTTACCAGACGTGTAATGCAGTTCTTGATGACTTTTGTATTTGATTGCGCCCATGAGAAAAGGGTCCTTATGGCAATTTTTACACATTTTAAGATTTTTATTGATTTGGATAGCAGACAGGTAGAACTCTGAAAAAATGAAATTTTATTGTCATCCGGCACTTCTAAGTTACTTGTTTTTGCATTTTAATACTAATGTTTATTTAGGTAAGGAAAAGGTTAACGTGACGTCAGTGACGTCAAAGATAAAACAGAGGAAAAATACATATTCTGACTTGTATAATGTAAAAAGAATTATTTTAATATTCAACAACACATAACGTTAAAAAATTTCTTTCAATAAATCTTTAAATTTTATATATGTGAACATGTATATGTTTAACCATAAATTAATTACTACTGACATACAGCTAAAGCATTTACACAACTTTGTTTATTAATGTTAGATTAAAATTTTTCAAATAATCGTTGAGCTACATATATGTTCATATGTATGTGCATTCAAATTAATCACAATTATTTTACTCTTATTGAACTGGTCAGGAATGAACAAAGATTTCATTTGAAATATTAAAAATAAACATTTGAATGATTTAACTAAAAGAAATTTGCAATAATTATGATGTCAAAGTTGAATGATAGTCAGATAAAGCTGGTAACTGGTCACAGTTTTTAGAGTCATTCCTCAGTTGGAGGTGGGCATACCTCGTCCTGATGTAGAGGTCTTACGTAAGGGCGAACATTCCTGTATAAATACAGCTGCCGATCTCTTGACAATCCAGGGGGCGTGATCAATATTGGTCTAGTCTGAGGGTCCCCGATGGGATGCTTCAGAATGGGCATCTTTGCCTCTGGGGAATCAACACTTTCTTTCACAAAAACATACCCGGGGTATTCATTTGAAAATCGGAAGTGGTGGTACTTTCGTATATTCCGGATAGCCTTGAAATGGCTCGACAGAAATTCCTTCCAGTCTCGCCACTCCCAGGTAACTGTTCCATCCTTTTTGTAGGGAACTGCTACATTGGTTGATGCCGACTTCTCCACTACCTCAACTAGCTGGCTGAATGCATCGACGTCACATCGACGAAAAAGTTTCCTAATGTGCCCAAAGCCACTATCCACGAGGCATCTACAAAATATACAATAGAAACTACTATCTCTATAAAAATGAATGCTAAAATTAAAAAAAAAAAGATAAAATACAAAATAAGTTACCTCGTGTGTCCTGGAATTTGCATTTTTAGCGAGATTGTGTCATGGAAACCCATCATTACTCTCCAACATAGATATGCTAAAACATACTGGTTTTTATTTTGCCCTGTTTCGAGAAAAAAATCGATGATTAGCTACTGTTGCCAATGCGAGCTAAAATGTATAGCATTCAAATTTTAACCAAATATCAATTACCACTGCAGTTATCTGCATGTAGAGTACACGACTTCTCTCCAAATCCGTATTCATTTAGTGTATAATCCAACATACTTATAAATATATTTATAATTGGTATCGGAAACACGTGGTGTTGTTTGTTTACGTATTTAGGAAGTATTTATAGTATCTAAGATTTGATTGGATTTTAACGATTGATATGAGTTCAAATGAAATCGTGCGGAACAGGTAGTTTACCTGTGTCCAGGTATTAAGAATTAGTAGTTATTCGAGGTTTCGCTGCGCTTAGTGCAACAAGTAAAAAGTCGAATAGATGTCTCGGCAAAAAACAGATTTCTTGGCCCAATACCGGGAGGAAGATGAGTCTCTAGACGAAACTGTACTACAAGAACCCGCTGGTGAACGGAAAACCACTCGCAAGACGGCTAATTCTGCGGAGACCTCTGGACACTCTAGCCCCCGTGTAAGTGCGGACTTGGCCGATACATTCAACCTGTTCAAGTCTTACCTGGACAACAAACTTGATACTCTCAAGGAGGAACTCTCTACGGGTAATGACATCGAAAATTTAACAAAAACCATTAAAAAGGAGGTCTCTGTAAAATTCAAGAGTGAAGGGAACAAAATTCAGTTTAACTTTAATACTGAAATATTGGGTGATTTGAATAAACTTAAAAAGCGCATTTCAGATTCTTCCACATTGAGCATCGTTACAGAGCTCATTTCCAAGGTTACTAAACGTAACAAGCTCATCAGGATCGCTGATAAATCTCCGGCCGGGTGGTCGACAGTCCGTGAGTATGAAAGTGATGATTTGGCGTCCGACTCTGAGGACGAAAAACGTCTACGTCAAGCTGAAAACCGAGCATTACGAGCTATCAAAGAAAAACGCCGTTTTCAGCCATACTCCAAGTCTGGTTCTGCAACTACTTCGCTACCTGATGGTAGGTCTGGTGGTTCTGGCCGTAATTTTCGTCCCTACAAGCGTAAGGAGGCCTCTCCATACGACGTGTGCTACAACTGCCATAAGCTCGGCCATTGGAAATCCGCATGCACTGCCCCAGCCAGAACCAACAACCCAAGCACAAGCTCGTCAACCCAGTGATTATGAGAATCAGTATGTATATTTCGTTGATGAATCTATTTTTACTGATCAGTTTGAATCATTTGTACAGCAAGTAAATTATTTTGAAAATTTACCTGATATTGGTAAAGGGGTGAAAGGCAGTTTACGCAAACATTTTGAGTTTTGGAAGTCCATAAGCACTAATGAGTTCATATTAGATACTATCAAAAATGGTTATGTTATTCCTTTTGTTACAGTACCACCACGCATGAGACTAAATAATAACAAATCTGCAATGAAAAACCAACAATTTGTTGATCAGTCTGTTTCAGATCTTCTAGAGAGCGGCTGCGTACAAGAGGTTCCTTTTCAGCCACATGTGGTCAGTCCACTAAGTGTTGCAGAAAATAAAGGGTCTGGTAAAAAGAGACTTATTCTGGACTTGAGTCAATTGAATTATTTTGTAGACAAAAGAAAAGTAAAGTTTGAAGACTGGCGTATTGCTTTGAATTTTTTCAATAAAGATTGTTTTCTGTTTAAATTTGATCTAAAGTCAGGCTATCACCACATAGATATTTGTAAAAGTCAGATTACTTTCCTTTCATTCAGTTGGAAAGATAAGTTTTATTGTTTCAATGTTTTACCTTTTGGTCTAACGTCTGCACCTTATATTTTTACCAAGTGTCTAAGACCCATCGTGAAGTACTGGAGAAGCTGCGGAATTGACATTGTTTTGTATCTGGACGACGGTCTTGGTTTTGGTAAAGATTTACAAACGTGTGTTAAAGCTTCAAATTTAGTTCAAGAGACTTTAGAAAAAGCAGGTTTGCTAATTAATATTGAAAAGTCTATTTTTCAGCCTGTCCAGTGTTTGGAGTGGTTAGGGTTGGTATGGGATACCAGTGTATTTTCTCTACGTATACCTGAAAGACGACTTTCTGATGCTCAGAACTCGATAGAATTTCTTATTGATAGATTTCCTAACTTTACAGCTCGAGATCTCGCAAAAGCGGCTGGGAAAGTTATTTCCATGTCACCAGTTGTTGGTAATGTAACAAGTTTGATGACCAGACACATTTATTTAGCTATAGAGAGCAGGAGTCATTGGGATTGTTTAATCAGTTTTTTATTTCCAGAAGCAGTAAAATCAGAGTTGCAGTTCTGGAAGGAAAATCTTGATAAGTTGAACCAGAAACTGTTAGTTAAAGACTCGTTACCAATAACGCTTGTGTTTTCAGATGCCAGTGACGTTGCAGCTGGTGCATATACTGTAGAAGCTGACGAAAAGGTTTTTCATAAAACTTGGTCATTGAATGAATCTGTTATGAGCTCCACGTGGAGAGAACTTAAAGCTATACAGTTAGCTTTAGAGTCATTTGCCAGTTCATTTATTGGAAAGAGTTTACTTTGGCATACTGACAATCAAAATTGTGTAAAAATTGTACAACGAGGTAGCACTAAATTACATTTACAAGATTTAGCTTTAGACATTTTTTCTAAATGTGTTGAAAATTCTATTTCGTTGAAAATTTGTTGGATTCCTAGAAACGAAAACACAAAAGCAGATTATTTGTCTAATTTAGTCGATTATGAAGATTGGCAAACAACTCAAGAGTTTTTTAGTTTTGTTGACCAAATGTGGGGTCCTCATACTATTGATAGATTCGCAAGTGTGTATAACACAAAGTTAACGAGGTTTAACTCCCTTTTTTGGTACCCGGAGACTGAAGCAGTTGATGCTTTTACTCAAAACTGGTGTTTTGAAAATAATTGGTTAGTACCACCTATTTGTCTTGTGAGTAAAGCTATAAAACATGTAATAGCGTGTAAATGTGTGGGTACATTAATTGTTCCAAAATGGCCGTCTGCAGCATTTTGGACGTTACTGTTTGATGAAAATATGAAGTATAAACAGTGTGTAGTTGATGTTTTGGAATTTTCTCCATATCAGAATATTTTTATGCATGGCAAAAATTTGAACAGCCTGTTTGGCTCGGACAGCTTTAATTCCAGAGTATTAGCTGTAAGACTCAGTGGAGTCTGATAGACATGGCCTTAGAAGGCATGGTCTGTGTACATATTAATGTTTGAATTTATTTTGTGTTTATTATGACAAGGCCAAGTTTATGGCAAGGTCAAGGTTTATTATTAGATTGACATGGCCCTTAATTAGAATGCATTTCTTTTTAAGCTGGCACGGTCAGGAATGGAAAGACAAGGTCGTGCTTATCGACAAGGTCTACTGCGACAAGGCTTGGGTTTCCAAGCATGGTCGGTAATATGACTTTTATTGTTTTCAAAACTGGAAATTGGATTTCGTTATGGAGAACCTCTCATCCCTCCTTACAATTGCTGGCAAAGAAACTTCCGGATTTAATCATGAATTCCAAGGCTGAAAACACAAGAAAAACGTACGGATATGCCTTCAATAAATTTCGTAAGTGGTGTTTTACACATAATATTTCATATCTTCCTGCAACGGATTTCCATGTATCGTTATACTTAACAAGTCTCAGTAATACATGTAGCAGTGCAGGGACAATTGACGAGGCTTTTTATGCAATTAGCTGGGCGCATAAATTGGCGGGATTTCCTAATCCCTGTTCATCCGAACTTACTATTTCAGCCAGAGAGGGATGCCATAGAACTATCGGGAAACAGTTGATAAATAAAAAAGAACCTATTACCTCCAATATACTGAAACAATTGTGTGCTCTTTACGGAGGTGAATCGTGTTCTTTGTTAGATATTAGAATATGTTGTATGTGCTTATTAAGTTATGCTGGTTTTTTAAGATTTTCAGAACTTGTTCATTTGAAAAGATCAGATATATGTTTTTACGGCAATTATATGACTCTTACTATTCAGAAAAGCAAAACAGATCGTTATAAAGAGGGGAGCAATGTAGTTGTGTCATGTACGAATGAAATTACATGTCCTGTGAGAATAACCAGAAGATATCTCAGTTTAGCAAACATTAACGATCAATCTAATGAATATTTGTTTAGATCTATCACATACTGTAAAAATTCTAACACATACAAATTAAGAGGAGAAAAGTGCTTGTCATATACAAGGGCTAGAGAGATTCTTCTGGACGCGCTCGCATCATTGGGTTTAGATAGAACTAAGTTTGGTCTGCATAGTCTTCGCGCTGGCGGGGCTACTGCAGCGGCCAACCATGGTGTTTGTGATAGACTATTTAAAAAACATGGCCGGTGGAAATCTGAGACTGCTAAAGATGGATATGTGTCAGAAAATCTTAGACAGCAACTGTCAGTTACGAAAAATTTGGGTATATAAAGTGTGGGTTTTTGCTTCTGTCTTTATTGGTCGAGGTCTGTTGCACAGACGCAGGCGATGCCGTTCCTAAACATGTGTTGGAGTTTTGAATTTATAAATAATTTATGTTCGGTTGAACTGGTGAATTAGAACATAAATATATTTATAATTGGTATCGGAAACACGTGGTGTTGTTTGTTTACGTATTTAGGAAGTATTTATAGTATCTAAGATTTGATTGGATTTTAACGATTGATATGAGTTCAAATGAAATCGTGCGGAACAGGTAGTTTACCTGTGTCCAGGTATTAAGAATTAGTAGTTATTCGAGGTTTCGCTGCGCTTAGTGCAACAAGTCCCCGCCCACCCACCCTACTTTATAATGTATATATCTGATATGATTTAATATTTTCGTTTTTTATTTTGTAGAATGTTGTTTCAAAGAAGAATATTTAATTTGTAACATTTATGTGTAATAAATGTCTGTTGCACAGACGCAGGCGATGCCGTTCGAGGTCTGTTGCACAGACGCAGGCGATGCCGTTCCTAAACATGTGTTGGAGTTTTGAATTTATAAATAATTTATGTTCGGTTGAACTGGTGAATTAGAACATAACTGCATTTGAACCGTTGGTCAAACTTCCATCTCGTCCTAGAAATTTGAAAATTGAAAACTTGAATAATACAGTGATTATATAACAAATAATTGTTTCTATATAAGTATTAAAATGGCCATTTTTCTCATTTGAAATGATAAAATACCTATAGTTTGATCTTCATCAATCAAGAAGTTCAATTGCATCCCTGTGCTGTCAACCCGGGCACCGAACAGCTGTACTCTGCGAAGCTGAACAAAATATGTTGGGCCCATTTGCCTGGCATGATGGGGCAGCTGAAAGTGTTGGGCAAAGTCAAACGTATAGTGAACATTATTCAATTCTTCTCCTTGCCATGCTTCCATTTCTTCAACTGCTTTGTGAATGCACTCTCTATAATGCAACCGTGCTTTTTTAGCTGACTCAATGTGATCCTGAAAAGATCTTCACGCGGAGTGCTGATCTTTATGTGGGGAAGACACCTCGTCCAGACATCCTCGAATGACGATATTTTCAAGACTCTTTGATTTGATTCCTCACAAGATTTTACATACATCTTATGAACTGCAGTTTTAGTATCGGACGCCGGAAGATATACTGGCGGGACTCCATCACTGCCTCGTGGGGCCTCAGGTTGAGAAATTCCAAATTCTTCAGCATGATTTTTGATGTAATTCACTGCATTTTCAATGTCTTTAAATTTCAAGGCATGTGCTGGCTTTTTTCTTTTATTTCCGTGTTCACGTGGAGTTACTCCATTCCCGTTCATGTGTTTTACAATGTTCTTTATAACTTTGTGAGAAACATCATAAATGGTAAGGAAAGCCTCTCTGCATAAGCTTTCTCCTCGAAAACTGTAAGAATATCGCATTCTTTTCCTCTCTGTGTTTTTGCGGGTAGTTTGCCCGTAACCCCCTCTTTGTAGGACTCCCATGACATACATCTCCTTTTTTTCCTTGCTCATTTCTCTCAGGTTGAAGATATGTTCTTTTATGTCATCAGTTGGAAATGTTTTAAAGCAGTTCTTTGTACATGTACAGTTACACAAGTTGATAAAGCAATCTTCGTTGTCTTGCACTTTACTTGTATCTTCCTCAGATTCATCACTAATTGATTCTTCTGAATTTTGCGATTGTATAAACTCGGCCATTCTTCTCGAGATCGTTTCATCGTGATTAGCATTTTCATTTTCATCGTCACTCTCATCGACATCAGATGGCTGGTTGTTCTGTTGGGTTACATCTAATCTCCCAAAATGTTCTTCAAATAATTGATCTACTTCCTGAATAAAAAAAAAAATTACATACATGCATTATAAAAAATATATATATGAATATAATATGTTTTTAAAGTTTATGCCTAATTTTATTTTTTTTTTAATTACACGAAATATATTATTATACCTCATATAAATAAACACAAGTAAAGAGGAATCTGATTGGCTGAAGCAGTCACATGACCGTCGTGTTCGCCCTGCAACAAAACTTCGTGTTTCCCGCATTCGGTTCACCTCGCCTGACTACGCTATCCTACATCTAGATGTAATTAACTGAGGTGTACAGAACGTGTTTTACGTCGTGTTCCCCGATTGTGACGTCACAATGCGGCGAATGCGATGATTTACTAGTATATATACTGAATTCGATTGTTTAAATCTTTGAATAATTATGTCGATATAAAATCTAAAAGTATAAATAGTTAGAAAAAGTGTTTCCATAAGTGGGGAATGAATGTTACTACACTGCAGTGTGTAAATCAGAATGACTTGTCACGAAGGGTTTTTTTTATGAAACGCTAGTGGTCTGACTTACCCCTATTGGTATTTCATTTTGTTCTCATCAAATGTTCACTTTATTTGTTGGATTCTCTTTATATCTTCTGCATAGTGCTTGATTCGGTATAATAAAATAATTATTGCATGAATGTTCGGGAGACATGAAGATTTCTTCGCCCATGAAAAATCATATTCCCCTCGGGCGTTGCCCTCGGGGAATATGATTTTTCATGGGCGAAGAAATCTTCATGTCTCCCTCACTATCATGCAATAATTGTATATAATGCAATACTATGTATATAATCTAATGAAATTATTGATACACTCTCTCTCTCTCTCTCTCTCTCTCTCTCTCTCTCTCTCTCTCTCTCTCTCTCTCTCTCTCTCTCTCTCTCTCTCTCTCTCTCTCTCTCTCTCTCTCTCTCATGAACTTAAATCTTAACAATCTATTAATTTTAAAAATATAAAACAATGGAAACAATTCATTTATTTTAAAATCATTTATTTACTTCAATTTTATCTTCTTTTTTTCATTCATTTTTAAATTTGTTTATTTTCTTTTTAATTTATTCATATTCTATTAATTTGATATTTCATTGATATGTATATGATTTTTTTTATCAGCAAATTTATTATTTACTTATATGTTTTCTAATTTTTTTTCTTCCCCCTTAATCGGATTCTATCTCCATAACATCTTCATCATATTTTCAGATTTAAAAAAAATAATTCGGTGAATTTCATGACACACATGGCCCTAATGAATGTAACAGATTCATATGTTATATATAGGGAGAGGTTTTTTAAGTTGCAAGAACTTGTTACCAATCCCATTGTATAAATTATACAATAAAATATGTTCAAAACAAACAAAACAATATGTTATCAGTCTATTAGAAATTTTAAATTATCCTTCTAAACATTTAATTGGCAAATTACACAAACTGATGTTACAAGTCGAAGAGACAATATAATGACAATATTATTGTCTTACTTCATTCTTTCCATATACATGTATATTTAACCCGTCTTGGGCCCCCGGTACAGTGAGAGTTATCTCTCGTATTTTTACTCCAACAATGTTTAATTGTTTATGAACACTGTTGATGTATCATGGCACAGGAGTCTGAAGTTTTTATCGTCAAAAAAAAAAAAAAATCCGGAAAAAAATTTTCCTACCCTTAACTAAAAAAACCCCAGGATGGCAACGTGTTTTGGGGGGACCCACCTAAACAAATAGATCTGGGCTTGGTCGGAAAAATCTCGCAACTAATTCAGTATCCGGAGTGTTTGTGCTATTTATTCAAGTTAAGAAATCAAATCTGCTTGACGACTACGGGCTGTTCATGGCCTTTTTTCCAGTTTGACAGCTCATCCTGGACTCCATGCCACTAAACCGGAAATGAACTCCGAGGTGAATATATGACGTAATTGAAGAAAAGAACCAAAAAAAATGCATGTAAAACTTCATGTACAATTTTATGTTACCATACGTGATTAATAAAAAGATATATTTTTCAAACAAAATAATGTTTTATAATGGCGCTTAGTCTAACTGTTTGGCTCTTCGTCGACATGGCTTTTCAGTGATTTAAATTTGGCGCTTGTAAAAACTGAATTATCTGTCCCTGGTACACATCGTCGTACAAGTAAGAAAAAGAATAAATAACTTTTTAAAGTTCTGTTAAATATATTTAAAATAACTGAATAAAATTACGTTGAACAATTATTTATTTTATCTCATTTGAACAAGTTTTTATAAACGTCAAATATACACTGCGAGATTCTCTTCCGGTTTAGTGGCATGGAGTCCAGGATGAGCTGTCAAAGTGCAAAAAGGGCTAGGAACGGCCTGTAGTCGTCAAGCAGATTGAATTTTTCACATTAAATAAATAACAAAAACGCTCCGGAAACTGAATTAGTCGCGAGATTTTTCTGGCCAAGCCCAGATCTATTTGTTTAGGTGGGTCCCCCCGAAACACGTTGCCATCCTGGGGTTTTTTTAGTCAAGGGTAGGAAAATTTTTTTCCGGATTTTTTTTTTTTTTTTGACGATAAAAACTTCAGACTCCTGTGATCATGGAAATAAAGTGACCAGCTTAAACTTGAATTCGTGAAGAAAATATAGATCTAATGGAATTGAGAAGTGGTAGAATATACACAGGGACTTTGTGTATTTGCTAGTTCTCTGGTGTTCAATATCCGCAATGTGTTTTCACTAATAGTGAATCAGAAATTGGATCGTCAGTCAGTGACATTGTCACACTCAGCTCATCGGACTATATATATCGAATGTAAAAAGGCTTACATCTATATATCGAAAATTAATTACCAGTTGGTAGAAACATTTTGTTACCTCAAACTGATCCATGGTCTAGAAAAGATAGTCTCCGTCATTGGACTTCTGAAGTATTTTAAAAAGGTGTGTTTTGTTTTCGTTGAATCCGCTCCTCCCATGTTATGGTATAACGTTAGTGTAGTTTTTGAACAGACGCGAAGAAATTCCGATATATGTTTATGGAATAATTAAAATAATTAAAAAAAAATAAATAAGAAGATACAGATGAATTAAGGTGCAGTATACTTATATTGTTTAATAAAAAAAATTTGTAACACACTATCGAAACACAAAAGGGAAAAATTATAAAGATTCTGCAACATTGTACATGTGATTAAAAAATTGAAACATCCAATGTTTGTGACGTCATTTCTCTGTTTTGTAAGAATTGCCATAAGGACCCTTTTCTCATGGGCGCAATCATTTGTATTTTATTTGAACCGGAGACATTAAAATTATATCTCATAGGTATACAATATTCATACCTAAGATTTGTACAGGCTATACTACATATACATGTGTTAATTACATAACAACATCATTAAATTATCATTTAGAACATCATTTCTTGACTGATAAGCAAAATACAAAAATTTGCCCAGGTTACATACTTCTTTAGTATTTGTAGAGCGCATTTACTGTACTAATTTAAATACTGATGTGTTTTTTTAAATAATAACTCTTGATATATTTAATTCTCAGTTCTTCATATCGAGGATATTTTAATACAAAATGAAATTCGTCCTCTATCTCACCTGACATACATATTTCACATTTTCTGTCTTTTCTTTCTATGTTGCTCTACCTTCCCCTCTCTATTCTTAAATCAAGAACTGATAGCCTTAAATGACTGACAGGTATTCCTTACTTTGAATGTAATGGTTTTCTCAAATAATTCTGTAGTGCAACATT